CAAACACGGGCAATAAAGTGCTGAGTGGTCTCTATTGTTTATAAGCAGTCTGTTTATGTTATATTTGACTTTATTGAAACTTACTCAAAGTCACTTAGATGTAAGAAATACAGGTCCTCTGTCTATGCAATGGGAAACTGTGTGCTGTGGCTGGGATGAATTTGCATCTTGGCAGATGAGCAAGAGTAGCAGCTAACACAGTGTTAGAGCAGAAAGTGAGAAACCCTTGGGTGTATAACAATTGGGCAAAGAAAATGTGTGATTTTACTTTGAAATGGGACATGACAAATGTTGGGAAACTGCTTCTCACGTTGGTGTCAATGTTGGTGTAAGGACTTCAGGAACTGGGGAGAGGGCTGAGCAGTGCCACCAGGGTGACAGGGGTTGAAAAAGCTCTCTATTCTGGTTAGCATATCAAAAAGACAGGTCTGAGGAGCCACTTAACAACCTGAAAGAACCTTCCTGGCATCAAGTACTGGGTGAGGAAGAATCCTACAGCCTTATGGAAAGGAGATAATGAAAAGTCTGGGAAATACCTGAATTGAGACATTTTTGGGAAGTAGAAGAGACATTTTTCACAACGAGTTTAATCCTTTGAGCAACCCAGCAAAGGAATCAAGACCCCTATTTCCCGATGGCTGCATATCAAGGCCATGTGACTTTTTGGAAAATATATCTAAGTTAAACATAGGTTAGTAAGTTTGTTATTTGAAAATGTATGAAATGTGGAGACCTGGATATCCTGAGATGTTGAAACAATAGAAAAATTAAGAACATATTAAATTAACCTTTTCTTTTTTGTCCTTAGACTGAGTTTACAAATATCTAAGCTTTTATATTTTGGCCATTTTCTCATTTTCCCTGTATTCCTTGAACAATAAGTGGGCATACCATGCTGTGTAATTAGTCATTCTTTGCATGTGGGTATAAGGTTCATTAAAGGTATGCAGGTTTTTTTGTACTTTCTTCCCAAGTTCTACCGTATGCATCTGTCCTGACAACAAAAAAGAGAAACCCCTCATAAATATTTCATATTTATGTATTTAGAGATGAGCTGCTTCTTAGAGAGGAAAAACCCTCCTTCCAATGCTATCTATTATACATATACTTTTAGAGACACTTCTTTTGTTTTCAAGGTTCACTAAATTGGTTTAAGCTCTGATTGTTTAAAATACTTGCATGATTAAACAAACTATATATACTAGTAAGCAATGCCTTTTCACATACATGGTCTTAGTCTACTTGTCTGATTGTACTCAACTCTTCTGTTGCTGTGAAAGTGAAAAAAGGTAAGAAAAATCCTGCTCCGGGAGACATAATGGAGCATGGCTTGTATGTTCACCTGAACTGGTATAAGAAGCTTGGAGTAAGGGGAGAGGTTCTCAAAGAATCTTGAAAGGCAAAGGTGTTTTTACTGCTCTTTTTAAGCTGTTGAAATTGTGACCTTTCAAAAGTAATTTTTTTATTGTTTTGAATCCTGTTTTTTGCTTAGGTTATGTTATCATTTTGAGCTCACAGTTTAGTGGGTAGAAGATAAGATAAATAGAAAAGGGAAACAAAAACATACCCAGAGTTTCTATCAGAAAATTGAATGACTAAAATAAACAGATGTTTCAATGCATGTTTAAATGCATATTAGAGTCCCAAACACATCTCAGAAGTGCAATGCATCAGCTGCCATTTCATGTGGCAAGTTAGTTACCTGCATCAGATTCCTCGTGGCTTTGAGCTGTCCCTATGTTAAATACAATGTTTCAGGATGGACCACAGTGTTGAAAGACAGAAGTTTGATTGATCTTGTCTTTTATTTTCATAAGTACACTAGTGACTAGAAACTAAAACAGATTGTACTCTGTCTTCTAGGAGGAGAGAGTTCCCCAAGTAAGGAGCATAAAAACACAGTAAATATGACTGAAAAGCAGCAGCATTCTGGGTACATTGACCAGAATAAGGTAGTATGATGTTCTGTAGGGGATGAGAGAACACAGGTTATCCAGCTGTCTGACTGTGGGGTGTGTTTCTTATTTAAGCAGTTACAGAACTCATCTTTAGTTTCTTTTTGCTTAAACACAAGTTCAGACATGAAGCCTAAATGAACAAGGAACTTTTGTCTTTTGCTGTACACTCTGTCAATCATTATTAAACAAACCTAATTTATTGTAACCTCTGCATTTTTGTGAGTCAGTCAGATCCATGGAAGTGATCCCTGTGGTCAGACATGCAGGTACTGCATTAATAAACATAACATGGTTTCCCCTGTATTTTATTGTTTTGACTGGGAAGCGGTTAATTTTGGATGCTTACAGCTGCATTTTGGCTTAACATTGACATTATGTTTAAGCCTTTTGGTGGCTCAGAATTACCATATTTTTCTTTGCCAGGAATATTGCTTTTTATTATTTTTCTTAAAAAAAAAAGACCCATAAAGATTTCCATCAATTTTTGTGAAAGAAATGTTATGAAATAGTTCCTGCAGACAGTGACGGAAAAGGGGCTGAAGCTAAAGGTCCTGGACATCCTGTCCTGTCTGTGCTCCTTGATACAAAATATCTTTGCCTATGTCTGTCCTGCTGCTGCAAGACTGAAAGTAGCCATTTACAAATAAAAACTGCATTATAATTGTAATACTGAAAGAATTTGACATGCTTGATTAAAGGGACTTTGGAGACCTGAGACCCTGTGCGCTGTCATATTGGTGGTGAAAGAAGCAGCTTTGTCCTCTTAGAAGCCATGTTCCTCTGCCTTTTTCTGGCTCTTTCCACAGAAATGTTCCTTGGGAGCAGCCCTGGGGAGCTACAGCACAAGTATTGCACCAGATTTGCATCACCAGAGAGCCCAAACTCATTAGAATGCTCCTTCTGTGCGCAGCTTAGTGTTTTGCACAGCTTTTGGGCAGTGGTGAGGAACCTCTGAAAGAGGTGTGAATGTCAGAGCAACCAGCTTGTACATTCTACTCCTGCATTGGGCTCACAGTAAAGATGAATTTGCTGGCTACTCAGGGTTACATACATGGTATGTCCTAACAAATAATCTAAAGAATCAAAGTAATGGGAATAACATATTTAGGGATCAAACCACACAATGGAAAAAAATTATTCAAATTGCTCAAAAGCAAAATGCATTAAAATTCTCGTTGCTTGTATGAAGCTTCAGCAGCATTTTGAATGTAAACATCCTATAATCAGAAACCTACATGGTTTGACAAGCAAATATAAAAAACAAAGTTTTCAATGTTTCTGATTTTTTCCCCTCATTTCCACCTGTCAAATTAATTCACTCAATTTAATCCAAATTTGCAAAAGATTTTTTCTTTATCTCTGGAAGATGTTTCTAAGTGGTTTATACTTTCTTTGGCAAACAAAGCAGGGAAATCTCAACAACAAAACTTCAGTTGTATTTTACCTATGTTCTCATTAGTTTTTCAAAGTCCCTTAAGAAAATAAAAAGCTATTTCTAGTACTTCATAATTCTTATAACCTGAAGATCAGGTCAGCAAAGCTTATAATTGTTTATTTGAGAGCTTTAGGAGATTTTATTTTCACTCCATAGAGCTTAATGTCAAAAACTAATGGTAAGTTTCACTTATCCATAGGTGCTTTGTTTCTGTCAGTACTAAAAGAGCAAACTTAAGATGAATATACCTGCGCAGCTTGTATGTGGCAAATAAAGGAGCTGCCTGCTGTATCTGCATATGTTGTCACAAATCTTAAGCCAAGGTCAAAACCTTAATTTCGAGCCTTAACACACTTCCATTTGCCTTGTTCAAACACTATATATAGGCTTATATCCTGCAGATGGTGGTGTGAAGCTCGTCCAAAGGTCAGTCCTGATGTGATAATTTACTTAGGATTCAGATCTACACATGGTATAACCCTTTCTCAAACTGACTCAGGGCAAAAGAGCATAATTTTGGAATTGTTGTCCAAGTTTCTTCTCTTTGATTCATATCTACTCCTGATGCCTGGTCAGGGCACCACTGATCAACTGTTCCCACTTAGAAAAAAAAAAAAGACTATGGGCAGGACAGGCACTGGGGAGTGCCAGGTTTTCTTTGTGGCTCTGGTGTGAACTTAAACCTGTCTCAACCCAACCACACTGCCTGAGCTGTGACCCAGCAGGCTGTTGGGAGTGTCTTGCAGATAATATTGACAAGATAAGTCTCAGGATGGGAGCAGTAATTATTTGAAATCACAGGCAAATATTGCTCAATCTTTTCTAGTATTTTAAATTCTTGGAGGTATTGTTAAGCTGTAGGTAGTGCCATTTCACGTGTGTTTTTCTCTAAGTTTAGACATGTTGGTGTACAAAGTCTGAAAAAATATGTTGACAATAAAGCACACTACACGTAGTACTAAATGGAGATAGTCTCTTAACAAGGCTCATGTTTTGTAGCCATATGTACAAGGCATGAGAAGCAAACTATGTATTGTGTAGGAACAGCTATGTTCCCACAGCTGTGGGTGGATCTGTGTCTGTGTGCAGCAGCCAGACTGCTGAACAGGGCAGTGCCTGTGTGTGGCTGCCAGATCAGCAGCTCTGCTTCCTCCCGAGGGTGCACCATTCTGCATTCTGCCCAATAAGGCCTTATGGCTTCTTTTGTTGCTTATTTGAGTTTCTTTTGGGAGGAGGGATTTTGTTCACCTCTTATTACCATACAGTGAATAAGATCACCTGGAATTAACACTTGGAAGAATATTTGACAAACATCACTTCAGAAATTCAATCCTCCTGACACTGTGGGCCACAATCACACCAGATATAAATATGCCAAAACAGTTCTTCCATTTACCTCACATAACCAGTCTGTCTTTTTGGGCTGAGTATGAAATATTAATTGTGAAATGCACTGTACCTGGGGACTACAAAACTATTTCAGGCAACTCTCCTTTTGCTTTTGACTAAAAATTTAATTTTTATTTACTTTTGATTAAAAATTTTATTCTGACCCTATTTTTTTCTCAATATTTTAGCAAAAGTAAAATTATTCCCATAAAAGTTTCCATTACGATAAATTGGCGCTTTTTTTCCATTGTGGAATGAACTTCCATTTCACACTTATATATAGAATTATGCACTTCTTAGCCATAGTGAGGTCTTTGTCAGCTGGTGCCTCAGTATGGTAATAAGGAAGACAGCACATTCTTGTAGATTTGATATGTGGATGTAGAAATTTCTGGTGTAGAAAGCATTTGGTTCATTTTCAGGTGACTGATTGAGGCTAGTTAACTTTTCCTTATATCCTGATTTACATTTAAAAATGGAAATATTGATACTGATGGCATTCATAACATACTTCAGAATTTACGGATGAAATGCTACAGATGTATTCTATTTATATGAAATGCATATTACAAAGCAAGATTGTCTTGAGATCAAGAGATTCGAAGATTGAACTTTTCTAAATATTTCATTTTATTTGCATCCTTAAATAATTGAACCATTTAGGAAAGGTACATGCTGGAAACAAGAACTTGATCCATAGTAATGTTCTCCTTACAGTTCCTTTGGTTTTTGCTTGGACAATGGCATAGTTTATCCTGAAGCCAGTCCTGTGTTACAGAGTAGGCATCTGATATGAGACAACTCTGCTGTCTTACCAGATTCATAGCATAGATGAGTTGTATGTTTGTACGTCTGTGTCTGTATGTCCGACCTGTGATTGGATTGCTCTAATTTCACTCATAGTTTTTTAGTTTTACTTGTTTGCTGCTGTGAAGGTGAGGGGTGGAGGAGGAGTTGTCCCATCAGTTTACATTAATTGATGATATTTCCCAGCAGTTTCCCTCTGCCTATCCTTGTCTCTTGGGGTGACACCCTATGGGTGGTGTTGACTGCAAAGCAGTAGCCCCATGCTAATATTCAGGGCTTTATGCAGGCATTGGGTATTGAAGTATGCTATTACTGAACACTCTCAATACATAAAGATTTTTTACCTATTTATGACTCTTCCTGAATCTGTGAGCATGTACATCTAGCTAATAAAACCCCCAAAGAACAGCTCTTTTATATCCTGACAAAAAGGCTTTTTGATTAATCTATATTAAGTAATATAGTTTAGTTTGTTGTAAACATGTAGACACGTAAAAATCACTGATTTGGTTTGGTTTTGGTTTTTTGGGGGGTTTGTTTCTTTTTTTTTTTTTTCTCATTATCTAAATTTTTCATTATCATTTTTGACTATGTATCCATTATTTCCAGACACAGGTGCTGTACCTATAGCCATTAATTTATCTTTCTTTTTCTCTCATAAAAAATCATGTTAATGTGGCATCCTGCAGATCTCTGATGTTTACATAGTATCAGCACAGGGAAATACTACTTTCAGTTTGATACACAAAGCCCTCCTTGTCTCTTGTGTCTTTTGTCTGTAGGCTATTATGCATGTGACTAAAGCCATGCATGACTTAAGCAAATGTTTGAATAGGGTTCTTGTGTAGTAGGACTGTATAAGCCATTAGGCATACTCTCTTTAACTTGGTGATGAAAACATTATGGTACATTTGGTCACACAAAGTAGAGTAAAATTGCTTTTGTGGCAGCAGAATAAACAGCATTCTAATCTGTGGGGTTTTTTTATTGTGCACGTGTGTGTGCGCTGCATATTTTCGGCAAAATTATCAAGCAGGACTGAACATGAAAAGTGTTAAAGTTATTGGAGTTGTGGAGTGAAAGCTGGGCTGAAGAGAGAAAGAATGTATCACTTTTTCCATTATGAAATTTGAAATCAACATTATTCTGTCATATTTGTGATCTGAGCTTGAAATCGGTTAATTGACATGTGAGGCAGTTGCTAACCATCTTTGTCATTTATAAAGCCTTTTGTGAGGGCATTGTTTTTCTTTCTTCTCTATATGTGGTGGATACTGGAGTGGGGACTTGAATTTTTGCTATGGGAATGTGAAAAACATGGGAAGCTGTTCTCTGCCAAGTTATTTCCCCAAGGCTCTGCTTTACATTCTGACAATCAATGACCTGTCAGGTGTAGTTATGCACCATAGCAATGATATGAGGTCAATCAGATGAAACCAAGGTATGTATTCCCAGCAGATCCCAGCTATCTGTTTAACACTGTCAAACTAAGTTTTCTTTGCTAAAGAGCATCCTCTTTCAGTTTAGTTTCTTTTTAGATTTGATTAACTCTGGATTTGCATCCAACCTGTGAATTTCTGACAGGAGTAAAAATATTTATTTATTTTGCTTTGTCTTGAAAAATACTAAATTACATGTTCTGGTATTTTGTCTTTTAACTTAAACCCATGCTTGTTATAACTGTGCAACTCTTCCTCATATAAAGAGTGTGTATTTGATGTTAAAAAACCCCAAAAACAAGTATGTTCTTTGCTGTAATGGTCAGGAGATATTTAAGTATCTGTTTTACAGTAACATAAATTTAGTGTCTCCTAAACACATAAATATTTCCTTAGAGAAAACCACCTTACAGATATAACACATTTATTTTGCCTTGCAATTCCATATTTGTGCAGCAAAAGATGTATAAATTGGATCTGTAAATCAGTGTTTTTATATGGAATCACTTGTCATTGTTTTATGGAACTCCTGCATCTTGCCAATATTTCCAACCTCTAGATATCAGAGGAGAAAACACTTTCTTAAAATGGATACAGGATTTTCCATATTTTCTCTTAAAAACAAACAAACAACCCCCAAAATAAATAAAAAAATTAAAAAGAGCTCTGTTTTGTTAGCTCATGTCTGAGAACTGCTAAGGATTAAGGATAAACATGCACTTGGTACACTGTGTGCTGCATACATTGTAACGGAACAAGAGCATTTTTAGCTACTGTGTGTATCATATTGAAAGCAGAAGACAGCAGTGATAACAGAAACTAAACAACTAAAACAATGAAAACAACTAAACAACTGGATTAAAATGTATTTATTAAGTAACAAAAAAAAAAAAGAAAGAAAATGTAAGTGTTGCTTTTTGAGAGGAAACAAGAAACTAAACCTAAAACTTTAAAAAATATATGTTAAAATAACTCATTCAGAAATGCAGGCTAATCCTGTCTGAAAGCTGCTGCAAGATTTTATATGAAAAATCTGGCTTTTTTTCATGATGTTGTAATCCATCCTTTATTTGTTGTCTTGCTAAATATAGTTCAAGCTCTATCATCTGAGAATAAGTTAGTATACGTCTGCACTGTGATTCTTTTCTTTTTTCAGATATTTTGAAATCATCTGTTGATTTTCTGGTCTGCAAGACCAGCATGTGAATCATATCAACAACTATACTCCATGTTTCAAAAATATGTAAAACTTTGCAGTTCTTCAAGCAGAAGAAGCAGAGATCTGGATCCACAATGGAGTGCTGGACAAAGAACACAAAGGTGGGATCTAAGATGATACCCTCACCCTTTAATGGGGGAAAATTTGTAGCTAACTTATGAAGTTGTACACAATTTGAGGAAATGAGCATCCCACCCATTTTTTCTTTGTGTGCTCTGCAGAATTCATATCCTTCCATTTTTGTTTTTTGTTTCCTTGAATTGTGCCTCATAACTTATTGTCATTGCTCATTAGTTGTTGGTGTGTTGGGAGGGTTGTGCAGACAGTGACCCTGCATGGTAACAGCAGAGCAGTTCAGAATAGAGTCATAATTCACGGTGACCTTTAATGAAATATAAATCTAAAGAAAGCTGCTTTTACTTTACCATATCTGAAGCCAAGTGAGAACTATTATTATCTTTAGACTTTGCTGTCATATAATTTAAAGAGACTCTGAAGCAGAGGAAATACATTTTCTCATGGGATACTACTACTATCATTGTTTTGGTGAATGGATACATTATTTAAACTCACATTTTCCTCTGGCCATCAGATTTAGGACCTGGTTGATGAGTACTCATCCATTGCTGCTGCATGATTTTACAGGGAATTCTAAGATCTGCAGTATGTTCACACGTTCCCCTTTCTCTTGGAAGGGAAGGTCTATAGGTAACCTGTGAATGCATTGCCATTTGCATTTTCTCTTTCTAATTTTTCCTGTTTTACCGAAAGCAGCAAGGAACCAGATCCAGTTGCCTTTCTCCTTCCTGCCGCTCCAGAGCCTTGCTGTAGTGGCAGTTTGGGTAGCTCCAAGCCAGCTGGCAAAGAAAAGCATCCATTTGACAGCTGGGCAAAATGGCAAAGGGGAGGTGGAGGCTGGAGACAACCCCTCTGCAGGGAGATGTTTTTGGGAAAGCTGCAGTCCGCCCTCAGCGTGCACCTGCCCGCAGTGAGGGTCTGAAGGCTTCACTGCCAGGGGAGACCCTCCCTTGCAGAAGGGTGGAAAGCACTCGGGACCACATCCTCAGTTGCTGCTCTGCTCCAGTGGGACACTGAAAGATGGTCCTGCTTTCATCAGGTGAGGAACAGAGCCTGAAGGCTAATTAAGTGATTTTGTCCCTAATCCAATTTATCAGAGGATAAAAATAGCCTCTCCCCCCAGACGAACGTAATGCCAAGACCAACTACTCACCTCTCCCGAGATCAAGCCCCTCCTGGAGCCTTTCCCTCTACTCCCTGAACTGCTCAGTGCTCTGATCCCTGCAGCTTCATGCTACTGCACTGTTTCCCTCCCCCAGACCCCAGCAGAGTGGGGTTGTGCTGGCTGCCCATCTCCCTGCAGAAGACACTGCATGCTGCCTCCCTGAGCGGTGTCTTGTCCAGGTGCCACGGCCCAAACGACAGCTTGTGGGGCCACTGGGGTAAAATGCTGCCCATCCAGCCTATCAAGGGACCCTGTTTTACCCATTTGGTCCTGAATGGGGAATAAATGTTCATTGAAATGACAAAAGAAGTGCCATCCTATTGCCTGAAACAGATGGGAAACCTACTTGCATTGGCCATATTGCTTTTGAGCAGTTCCTAGTTCATCTGCATAAATACGTCTGTCCCGTGAGCCTTAGACCTCCTGTGGGCAGCTCATTTGGGGTACTACACAAATCTGTCTGGTGAAGACTTACTGGATACATCTGGCTTGCTCATATTTCTAAAACTGAGCAAAGGACTTATTTATTTGTGACTATTCTCTCCAGGGTTGGTTACCCAAGAAGGCATTCCTGCCATGCTCTAAAATGGAGATGATTGTCTGTGTGCAGCTTGAAAATAAAGCTGTGTCACAGCACCTGTTCTATCCCATTACAACGAAAGCCAGGATGGCAGGAGTGGAGCTGGAGCAGAGTATATATGATGCAGTTTTATTTTATGTGAAATTCAAAACGTACCACTAGGAATAAATTCTTTCTTCATAAAGCAGTTGCAGGGAAGGGAGAATAGATTTTCCAAGCAAATTGTGAAAGTTCAGGAAATTCTTGGCTTGCTATTTGTTCTAAGTGATCTAAAGGAGAAGGAAGATACTCTATCCAGCACAAATCATATTTTTAAGAATTTCCCAATATTGCTTCCTGTCTTTGTGCTTGTGAGGCAGATTGTATATAGAAATTAAACAGATTTGCTTTATCTTTTCAGAGGAAAGTGTCTGCTATATAATTTGCTGGCTCTCGTTTGTTCATTCATTGAAAAACAGCAGGAAAAGGGCTTTTGTGTTAAGAACAGTCAAGGTCAGGGATTTTTGTTTTTGATGTTGGCTGCCAGTAGCATGCTTTCTCTGACTACTGTTTCTAAGTCAGTTTGGACAGCAATCTAGTTGCCAGCTTACAGGGAGATATTTCACAGCTACAGGTCATCTCCAGTGAGTGCAAACTAGAAAGAGATTTGAGGACCAAATTAAATGTCTTGTACTCAGGTCCTATTTCATGCCAATATCAAATTAAGTTAATCAAGCCTACTAAAGGACATGCAAATTTGTGACCCTCGTGGATGCTACAAACTCTTCTTCATGCACGCTCAGCTTTAGAAGCTGTGTGAGCAAAAGCTTTAACTGTGTGACTTGGTTTACAGAATCAGAGCCTTTCACACAAGAATTCAATATAGCAAATACTTGTTTTCATGGTAAGCAAATAAAAATGGAAAACAATGTTGTGATTTTATAAAAAAGAAAACTAATGTTCTGCAAGTGAACATTTTTTAAGCCATAGTATGTTGACATTGCACAGCCAAATGTCCTTACTCATTCACAGTCCAGCTACTGTATTTCTAAATTCTCAAGTTAATGGTTAAATGAAAGTAAAAGAAATCATTAGACAAAATATCGATGTCATAAAACATTAGTATGGAAATCTGAACATTTCTCGTAGAGTTTATTTTTCTCACAGCAGGACATTTGGGTGGCAGGTAGGCACAAAGTTGAAATCTGCTGTAGTTTATTCCATGGTTTGTAAAGCCACTATATAAGAGTCCAACTTAATCATACATCCTCTGACAATACTTGTTTAAGTCTCTCACAAGCAGTCTGTGAGAGATTTCACTTTTTCTCACCTTTTAATGTAATTCTAAAGATTTTGTGAATATATCAATTAGAGATTTCCAATAATGGAAAGCAGGTTTCAAGTGCTGGAGAAATACAATAAATCACCAGCCATATGGGCTTTTGTCATTAAAAGAAAGTCATAATAAGACAAAAGCTGACTTACATTAAAACAGCTGAACAGTGCTTTTAGGCGCTCTTATGCAAAACTCACTACCTCGGTTTATTCACAGGAAGCGTCTTTAGAAGACTGAAAGAAAATCTTTTTCAACTCTTTATTTCTTGGCTACATCAGAAAGAAAGCAAAGTAAAAGCCATCTCAGTGACACTTTTCATGCTCTGCTTACTTTGTTTTCACATGAGATTCTGTCTGCTACCTTTGTATTTTCCCCCTGCTTTTTAGAGGGCTCCTTGTGCAAAACAATGAAGAGTCCTGATAACAACAGGCAGTTGCTCCAAGGCCTAGTTGTTCAGCAGGATTCACTCCAAGAAATTGAGAGGGGTGTGTTGAGTCTTTTTTCCATCACCAGTCTTTACAGTTAGCAGGCCAGATGGCATGAGCCGAGCGCAAAAAATAACGACAATAAATAATACTGCGACTTACAACGTGGACCAAGCTCAGTTACTTCCACTTCATCTCACTGTTTGGAAGTGTCTTTGATGTATAAAAGCACCCCCTAAGATAATGAAATGCAGTGGCAGCTGGCTAATGGCTGGGAAAGTGCAAACCCTGCATTGAACTCTTCCCACCAGGCTATTCAGCGCCCAGGCAATGTCAGTCTCAAGGAGACAAGGAGACGGGAAGAAACAGAGGCTTGTTGCTGTGCAGCATTTGGGCTTCTGGGCAGGCTGCTGTAGGTGGGGTGTTATTTGCCTTGCTGAATAGAAGTGATGTGCCCAAGGCAAAGGGAAAGTTTTTACTGTCTTAATATATTAACCTTGCAAACTCTGTCCTAGAAATGTTAAATGAAGCCACAGGGTCGCACTACTTGAAGAGACACTGCTCTTGGGTAAACTTTAAAATGGACTTTTTTTTACACTACAATCCTATCAGTCATGCAATCAGGGTTAGTTTCCTTTCAGGCAGGACTATCTCGTGGCTTGGTTCCATGGGCAATAAAAAAATAAACACATCCAGACTTTTCTCTCAGCTTCTCCAGGCCAAAATGTGGGCCAGAGTGAATGACAAAGATCCAAAATAGACAGCAGACATAGACAAATATGAAAAACCTATTTGTTCAGGGGCTTTAAAACAGTAGGGGACTTATTCCTCCAACACAAAGAAAAGTTTCTGGTCTCTCTATTAAATGATCCTCTGTTAATTATAATGGGGTCCGACTCTGCAAATACTTGATTAGATGTGCACTCATCTTCATGCATGTCATTAGTTCTGCTAACCTCAGTGCCAAGGTTTGTCACCAGAAAGTTCAGGATATGCACAGACTTCGCAAGTTTGATGCTTGCCCCTGCCAAATGTGGCAGCAGCCTGTCTCAGTGGCGGGGAGTGCAACAGGACATTTGCAGCAAGGTCTTATTGTAAAAGGAGTCAGTGGTGAAAGTCAAATTTACCAGAATAAATATTTAGGCAAAAAAAGAAATCAGAATTTTTTTTTTAATATTTGACAGAAAATTGTTATTTTTTTATATTTAAATTTTGGAACATTCATGCACAATTATAAAATTCAAATTGCCAACAGTCTAGATTCAAGGGCTGGAAATATTCTGAAATATTACTGTTGTGGGTGTTATGACCTTGCAGGCAAGAGTCTTGCATGACCAAATTATCACATTGTGACACTTTAATCCTCAATATATAACTCCACAATTCTCTGGGAGCTGTAGTAGCCTCCAAATCTAATTGGTTTAGGAGGGTACAGAAGATTAAAAGGGGGATATTTTGCATACTTTGTCTCAGGTAAGTACCCAGATCCACAGTCCGGGCAAGGATGCTCAGTGTGTATTTCGACTGACTGTACGTCAAAGGTGTATTAATTATTGTCACTTGGGCTAATGTATACTGTGTCCTGCAGTACAGCTCCAATATATTTCCTATGAGTAAACCTAAGTCAATGTCACCAAAATTTTTCAATGCCAAAAGGGAATAGCTCTGTTTAATGCTAAGATTATGGCAGCAAACTTTTGATCTATTCCTTATGATCCCTTATCCTCACAAAGTGTACTTGCTTTTTAGGAAAAGTCTTTTTGTTTCATTAGGTTGTCACTCACCAAGAAATCCCAGCTGGGGTGAAAATATTGGCTCTATCAGTCAGCCTTCGACCGTAGCCTCACAGAGCTTGTTTTCTAAATCTGGTTTTGAGAGCTGTTTGCTTGACAGGCTGCTTCACAGACTTATGATTGTTTGTTTCTGGCTTATTTTGATTGCTCTGCTAATCTCTAGACTTTGGCCTTGAGGCTATTATTTATTTTGTACTTTTATTGATGTTTGTTATTTGAAACTTTGTTTTCAGTAGATTTGCAGCCCCTTTATAAACCACTTTTTTGATTAAATTTTGTTGAAGAAGTTGGTGGATTTTTTTACCTGTTTTCCCCTCTCATTTTTCCTCCTTCTAATCATCCAGTAGAGAACTCACCTGCCTTTTGTTTGTGCCTGACTTTGTGATTTATTTTCAGATTAGAAGGAACAGCTGCACAGCTTTCACTTTTACTAGTTCTTCTCAGTGAGTCAGGCAAAATATTAACCACCCATGAACTGCTCTCACAAAACCTCAAGTTTACAATACATTTATTACAATAGATCTTTTGCCTCCACAATTCAGAAAAAAATATTTTTATTCTTTGACTTTCACCTCACACAGGCCTTTTGTGTGTGTGTGTCTATGTGTAGATATATCTGCTATAAGGACAAAATAAGTTAAATAATCAAAACATATGAAACTAGCTCGACCTTTCTGACAATTTGTCTAACATTATTTTTGTAAGAGTTAGAGCATGAAATTTAAGTTCCTTTTTAGGCCTCATCCCTGCAACACCAGGAGCTCAGTGGCATGAATACATGCATCCAGTGCTTCCTGAGCATACTGCTTTCCAAGGTATTGTGGTTCTTACCTCTCTGATTATTTACATTTTATCTACCATAAAATGTGTGGTATCTGTTAATAATCTATTTATGTCTGTTAATAAAATAGTTTCTGTCTTGATTTGAGTGATTGACAAAGTTTTACTATTTCTCAGTTATTGAGCGTTCTGCCTGTTTATATTTCTTAGCGTTGTCAATGCCTTAATGGGGAGCTATCTTTCCTACAACTTACATTTAATAATCTCTGATGTGGGCCTTTCTTCCTATTAATACATTTCAAATGTATGTTTTGCTTCTCTTTAGGGCTCAGGGGTCAGTGGGAAGGAGGTCGAAGGGGTGTAATATGCCACAGATTAAACTAGGTTTCCCAAAAACCAGTTATTCATAGCAAATTTCAGATATTTTACAAAGTTTAGGTTACTACATTTCAATTTCTCATACCTGAGGCTTCAAGACCTTGGCCACACAAGAAATTGAATGGCCATAGAGACAGCTAAAGTAAATGGTCTCTGCAAGCATTTTATATTTTTTGGGAATAGGACAGGATTTCAAAACAGAAGGGGACATAAAACCTTAAGTGCCTAAAATCTGAGATCTCAAATTAACTGATGCATAGTTATTGGGTTATATTAAAATGTATTTCTTGGCAAAGAATGGTAATGATATAATATGCTAGCCAACACTGAATTTGCCCAAGTCTGTGTCCACATAATATGTGCTGAGGCTGATAAAGAAGACAAATAAACTGGTTTTCTTGTTAACCATTGCTCTTCCTTTGTATGCCATTTTGAATGGTTAAGTACCCCCTGGTGGGAACCTGGTTATTGAATTTTGTTTTTCTAATTATGACATGTTTCATAGCAGACAGTATATGTGTGTGGTGATTGTGTTCATCTCCTGAGGGATCCCTGATAAACTAAACCAGGTAACAATTTCTCTTGCTTCTTCACATTTTAGCTACCAGTGGGATTAACCTTGCTCCTTTTTTTCCTCGCAGTGAGAGCTTAGGTTGTTCCCCCAGTTCTATATGGGCTCTTTTAGCTTAATTTCTGTCCAGTTATGTATAAAAGTGTTTGCCTCACATTTTTCAATGGCACGTTAGCATTCATTATTCTCCTGAGTCATGCTTTCTAACCTTCTGACTGAATGACTTTCTGGATTCATTTCCATTGCTCATGTTTTGTGAATTTTTTGCCATTTCCGTTTGCACTTTTTAGTCCTCTCAACTACCTTTACCTTTTAGAATGTTTTAAGTGATTCTTTTGACATTTGGGGTTGCTGAAGTGATGCATGGGGTGTGTCTAACTCTCTTTTTAGGGTGATGTAGTGATGGTCTCTTGAGGTCTGAACTGCATCCTGAGCTCATTCCAAGCTCCACTTCATCCTGCTGCAGGTTTGTTTGAACCACTGAAGCTGTTATATTAATAACTGGATTATAAGCATACCTGGTTTTTGGTCCTTCACATGCTTTTGATGCTAATTCTACTTTAGGACTTTGTATTGTTTTAATGTGAATACCTTAAATAAAGTATCCTAAAATGTGCAGGGACTTGCTTCAATGGATCAAGCCCTATTCTCTACATGCATTTTGAGTTCTGTCTCCCAGCCTGAGTCTGTCAGAGGTGCATGGCATTTCATATGTATTTTCTTTCTCTCAGGAGTGAGACTCAACATCCACTGTAGGACTGACTTTAAAGTGCAGCCTCTATGGAAATTTAGCCTACTTACACCAGGAGATCCATGAGTCACTCTATTACAGTATCTTAGCTGCTGGAGTCCACAAAGCATTTAATAGTTTCCTTCACAAACAACACACTTAGGTGGTTCATTTCCAAAGGGGAAAAATCTGAAAAGCATAACTTTTAGTGTTTGGTAAAAAAATCCAATCTAAACCCGCACCAACAACAGGGAATGTTTTTTAAGATTTTTTTTTTTATTTTACTTTTTAAATTACCCAGAATGCCTTTTCACATCAGTGTGGTAGTGTGCCTTTGGGCCACCAAGTCAGAGTTTCTTCTGGAAATACATGGTAATTGCCTTTGAGCTGTAAGTGCTCCAGAGTAGACCTCCCCTCTCTAAAAGAGCTCTTCAAGGGTATTTCTGTTACTCTAATTCACTCAAAACGAGTTGCTTAAAATCTCTGGACTCTCTGACAGATGAAATGGGATTGATTGGAAGACACTCTGTTCCGCAAGGAACTCCAAGCACAGTTTTTACAAAGGACTTATTACCAATAGAATGCAGGCACTCTCAAAATAAGAACAAAGTAAAACTACCAGCTCTCAGCTAGAAGGAATATCTGAGAAAAGGAATGAAAAACTCAGTGTGTAGTTGATAATTAATCTCTAAGGTGCTGCAGACTCCACTTAGCTTTTATAGTATCTAGAGAGAAAAGATGTAATCCACCATCACGTTTATTCCTCTGTTCTTCTATCAAAAGGTTGTTAGGCCTCACCTCTTCAAAGATTTGTGCACATATTTAATCTTCTGACTTTACAAATGGTAAAATTAAGCATGTAGGTCAATTTCTGCATGAAAAAGATGTGGTGGGTTTTTTTTGGGTTTGTTTTTTTTATTTTTTTCACATCAGCTAAAGTAAACTGCAGGAGGAATCAGGGAAAATTTCCAAACCATTGTGTTTAGACTTGCTTGGAAAGGTTCCTGAAGTACATCTTCCTCAGATTTCTCTGTTGCTTCTGAGTATCAGGATTGTGATAGATACACATGATTCTATTTGAGTTATCTAAAGTGCTTTCTAGTGAATTCTTCTTTTCCAGTAACTGAATTTTCAAGTTTTTCAAGAGGAAAAAAAGTTCTCACTTGTGAAAAAAACACAGAAAACACACTCATTTCAGAGCAAAAATGAATAATCTGCTTTGATTAAAAAAGCCAAAGCATTCTATTGCTCAGGTTTTAATTTTCTACACACATATCTCCTGCTTAGGGAGGCTCTGCAGTACACCTTTCCCTTTCAACCCTTGTTATTTGGTGCATTAATTTCATTTAACAACAAGGAACTGAAACATTACGATGTGGAGTGAGGAAAGACAGCCTTTTAATACCATTTGGTTGCTTGCCAAATATTTTGCAAGCGTTCCTGTTAGGACATATTACGTGAGCATACATACTACATTATATATATACAGCATATTTATATTCTTACAACATGTTTAAACTTCTCACTTATAAATGTCTTGTACATCTAGATTCTCCTGGGAAAGCAAACCTGCACAACCTGCCTTTGTCCTTCTTCCTTGGCAAGGTTAATGTGGCTTTTGTCATGTAGGGGGATCTTGAAGACTAGGTCAGCACTGCAGGCAGCTTGCAAATGGGTGTGTTCCAAGGGGAGAGGGAGCAAATCAGAGAGGAAACCTGAATGGGCTATGTGTGATGAAAAGATAGAAAAGTGATAGAGATCAAAGTATGTTGATTCAGTTGTATAATTTGGCCTCAATATCAAACACAGGTTACAGTTCACCAGGGGAAATTTTTCTGTTTGCCTGCTCTCCTTCCAAAAAAAAAGAGGAGGGAAGAGGAATGGAAAAAGGAAGCAATTCTAAGATCCAACCAATTGTTTTAATTGTAGCAGAGCTCAAGTTGGGAGTATCTGGAGCATTGCTGAATGACATGTTCACTGCCTGTTTGTTTTGCTTTGTGGGTTTTTTTGTTTGTTTTTGTTTTTGTTGTTTTTGTTTGGTTTTTTTTGGTTGTTTTTTTTTTTTTTTTGGTGAGGGGATTTATTTGGTTTTGGTTTAGTTTCAGTTTAGTGTTTGGTTTGGGGTTTTTGTTATTTTTTTTTCTCTTCCTTTGGAAAGGGTTGTAGTAAACTCTATTAAATATAAATGTTTATCACATAATGGATTTTGGATTTTTTTCATCAAACATGAGGCAAGTTCTTCAAAATGCTTTTCTTGGTAAGAAATGACAAAGAGTGCCAATGGGAATGCTTATATGATCCTTTATGTTTTCCTGCTTGAACTATGTGAACAGTGAAATTGCAGCTGAGAACTGTTGCAATATTCTGGCAGGAATGCACTTAATTTCTTCTTTCTCAGCAAGTTCCTACATGCAGCTATTACTACAAACAGAGACTTCTCATGTCTTTGCCCAAAACATTAAAAAAAGACCAAAAAAAGGCAAGCAAAAAACCTTCCCACATTAAATTCAAGACAAAAGGAAATAAGTTGTCTGTAGGGAGGCTGGTGCATACGCTCTTAAAATCCTCTTCTTATTGAAGTCTCTCTGAACTTTTTGATGCTATAAAGGATGGCCAAATTTTCTTCACTGATGAGGGAAACTTGGCATTCTATTTCTTTGGAAAATCACTTTTATTCTTTTCTTTATTTCATCAAGGGGCTTCTAGAACAGCCGTGTGCTGCAATATTATAGAACATTTTCCTATGATGTGGACCCATGGGGCCTGATGATGTTTTGTCCTGTAGTATTTTCAGTAGCTGCAAATGCCTAAGGAACATTGCCCTGAGAGAGAGAAGCTGTGCTACAGGCATTGACACTGCATGGACTGCTTACAGAAAACACAAGGAAACAGGGAATTCAGCAGCGTTATTCTCATATGTAGAGCTCTTTCTTTGCCTGTCCTCTTGCAGTGTCGCCACATTGCAGACTCACCCTACGCCATTGTTCAAACAACATGTCTGAACAACAGATGATTTTGTTCATTGGCCCAAATCTGAAAAGCTAGGGGGGAGGTGAGAAGTGAGTCCAGTAGAAGGGAAGCTACTCACATTTTAAACTAAACTCAAAACATAGAGCTAAATTTGTGGGATCTTCAACATCTTTTCCTTGTCAGCTGGATTGTTTTAATGCATAAATATGTTATTTTGAAAGGAACAGTAAAAATTTCATTCAGGAAAGTAGTGAAATAAACACCTTATCTAAACAAGCCTTTCAATTTTAAAAATATCATAACGCTAATGTTGATAGTCACTACTTAAACGTTTTCCTGTTGATTTTTGATCTCTTCCCCTGTCAGATTGGTAAAATATGAATTTCATTCCTTCCCTTAAATTGCCTGGAACTTGTGGGGAAACAGAATATTTTTCTCTGTTTGCAAAAGATGGGCCAAATAATGTATTTTTAAGCCTATTGATTTTCATCCTTCCTGGTTAAGCTGTAAAAATGTCTGCTTTTTCCCCACAGAAATTCCTATTCTGTGAGACGTACTCCAAACTCCTTTATCCAAAATAATATTACTAATACCTTTATCTAAAAATGCTAATTTAATTTCTGTGAATCTTTCTTCCTGCTGTAATGGAAAGCCCCTCAAGTATATTACCATGCCTGCCTCTGTTTGCTGTATCAGTTCCACATGCTAATGTGATTTCCTGTAAGAGGAGATGAATATATTTGTTCTGCAGTGAAATCGGGGGGGAAGAAAAAAAAGAGAAAAACCTGAACAGTGCTTTAAAGAGAGTAATCTCAACGGAAAATATCAAGTTGGTTCTACAGCGTGAGTCTTAGATGTAAAATCTTGCTCTAGCACAGACTCCAGACTTTCTCTGCTTTTCTGGCCAGTGAGGGATGTTGTTTCTGCCACCTGTTTGGAGACAATTGTGCAACTGGGACTGTGGAATGACGTCCAGTTGCCTTTTTTAGAATATGAATAGGACTTTTGAAATTGGCTGTGCTGAGCAGTTTGGGGCTGAATCACTCTGTAGACTTGCCAGAGAAAGCGTTTAGCTGATGGACTTGAGCCAAAGCCCACTGTATCTCACAGCAACGCTGGCTTTGGCCTTGGTAGTCTGGGGCTAAAGCTCTGCATGAATGACAGCTTCTTTTCTGGAATTATCAATAAAAACTTATGATTTCTAGTTTCTGACTTCATTTTGCCAAAGTATTTTACCTACATTTTTTCAGTTTGAGCCACCACTGCCTGGTTCTGCTCTTCCCTCCTCTGAAAGGGGTGTTACGTTTGATGGTAATGTGGATGCTTCATCATGAAAATGTCAGGGGTAAGCAGCAATCTCAGCGCTCAGCTGGCTGAACTGCTTAGTCCCACTGTCCACTCACTTTTAATTTTTACTCACTTTTCATTTCTGAGTGTGTGCTATTTTGAAGTGCCTCAAATGCTCTCAGACCCCAAGCTATTTTGGACGTGATCATGTCATTTCCCTTCCTTCTGCTGCAATCACAATTGGATCCTGCGGGCACTTCCCATAACAGGCCTCAGTTATCAACGGCAGGAGTTTCAGTGCATTTCCCTTTGCAAAGACTTTTGTTGCCAGTTGGGAGTTGTTACTTGTTTATGTCAGTCTGCGAGTAATGCCCTTTTGCTAGCATTGTACACAATGTTTTTAGGTTTTTTGACATTTATCCCTCCTGTTGTTAGACAATGCTAGCTTTGCAAGTTGCAAAGAGTAATCTTTTCCCCTCGGGTGTCATTTTTTCTGCATTTTGCCCTTTTTTTTTTTTTTTTTTTTTAATGTGTGATTATTTTCCAGTTTTAAAGGTAAAAAGAATAAAAATTAACAAGCTTAGAGGCATTTCCCAGTCTGCTACTCACTGCTGTGAATAGATGTTAAACATAGATTTCTGTGCCCACTTTCAGTCTCCTTTAGATCTGTTCCAGCAGTGTTACTGCTTTCATGCTATCTTCCTTGGTTTTGTGGGATGCAACCTAAATTGTACCAGCCCCAGCATTTCTGTTAAATGGTAGGATGAGCTCTGCAGACTTTACTCCATTGTAATCCATATAATAATACCTATCTTGTGGGTCACTGAGCATGTCTTATGAAAAGAACACTTAAACCCTGTTAATTTTGAATATTGACTTTCAGTATTTGGTCCATCACTCTGAAGTCATAACTTTAGGATCTCTTTAATTCTTTTTCATTTCATACATAGAAGAAACATTTTATCCTTCCATTTGATTGCTTCCTAACTTTTTTCTGTGTTTTTATTCCAACAAAGTTTGCTTTAGCATGGCTGTATAGACTGTATTGCTGTAATGGTGTCAAAACTGTGGAGACACCTTCAGAGCCAAATTGTGCTTCATACTTGTGCTACATTTCTGCATAGAAGATGGACAGCCCATGCCTACCAGACTATTTCCTTGTGTTGCTTCTTGTACATAGATATATAAAAATCTGCTCCAATAGCCCACTGTGAAGAAATGTCCCAGTTTCACATGGTCCCTATGGATCAAGCTCCCTGTAGGCGTGCTAAGAAGATAGGTGTTTTTGATCTTCCACACTGGCCAACTAAAAACTCTCTATTTTTTATATTTATGGTCCTGTACGCCTTTCCCACCAGAACTGCATGCCCTATTGCAGTGAATTAGAACCTCCCAGGAATGCTCTTTCTGGCTTTAGTTATTTTTCACAAACCTCTTTAAAATAATTCTTAACCCTGAATATGTAGGTAACATCTGCACTGTGCATTCTACAATGACAGCTATTTTACGCGAAACTTGTCAGCACTTCTGATCAGATTCTAATTTTATGGTTGTTCTTTTATTGTTTGAAGTTTCCTCCCACTTAGGACTTTGGAATGGTTTGTGAGAACATTCAAAGAAACAGATGACTGTTGTTAAGACTCTGTCTTCTCTCTAGAACTAATTCAGCTGTAGAAAAAAATAAATGAAAAATATGCCCTCAGGCATGCTTTCCCTTATGCATATACTCATGTCCCATGAAAATATTTTTCTGTAAATTAGCAGCTTGGTTTAGTCTTGTCTCTCAAGGTTATCTGGTTGCAGGGTATAGCATGTGCTTCATAATAAGTGAAAAACAAGTTTAATCACTGAAATTCTGTTATTTTCAGCTGCAATAAGATGCAAGATCAAGGTAGCAAATTTTATTGCCAGCTGAAGCTGCAGGGTAACAGGCTGCTGCTGGTTTTCCCTGCAGACAACAGCAAAGAGCACATTTTGTGTCAAAGTAATTGCACTAGCAGGTGCCGTTGAGCAACTGTGTTTTGGTTGCGACACTATTGTGGCTCATTGCTTACCACAAATGTTTATGTATAAAAAAAATTCAGTTCTGCTTTTAAATTCCTATTCAACTGACAAGGAAGGATAGGGTAGACAATGGTGAAGCAATAACTACAGTTTAAAAGGGAGCAAGTCTCCTTCCCATTTCTGGTGGGTGAGTACCACTGTTCTATCACAAGTCCTTCCGTAGGTGTTTATCACAGCAACCGTAAACTGGCATTCAGTGCTGGCAACATGAAAATCCATAAGAACTGGAAGAGATAGTTGCAATGGGATACATGCTGATATGATTCTGTCATATTTTTAGGGAATAATGTAATTTCATGCACCATACTGTCCTGGCTGAGGGCTCCATGTCCCTCCTGTGACTCTCTTCTTGCCTGCCTTCCTCATGTGCTCCACCTCAGGACTTGGCAGCTCCTGCTGCAGGAAAAGCATCTGGGGACAGATGCAGCGAAGGGAGGGCTGGCAGAACAGCACCTGAGGGCCCATAGCATTTAGGGTGCACAGAAACACTGATAATCTTGGCTCCTCCTAGTCTTGTGAATCCATGTAAGTTTACTTGCTGAAACCATTACCTGCTTGTGCCAGGCCCAAGACAATGTTTAATTTGATCTTTTCAAGGCTGTGGACAGCTGCAGAGGAGGGAACTTCAAAGAAATGCATTGATGCCTCAGGCTTTAGCTTTTATATTTTTCAGATTCTGTACTGCTTTCGTGTGTAATTCTGAGCTTCATATTAGGGGATAATAAGCTCTCTTCACAGAGTAGGCAGATAAAACAACTCCTTCTCTAGCTGGAGACCAAGGACAAATGGTCCAAATTTCAGACCCAAGAACATAAACAATGGTGGACTGAAGGTAGAAAAACAAGAAGGATGGGACTTGATAACCTAAAGCTAAAATTGGACAATTAACTCCAGTATGCTAATGGATCAGAACTTATAAAATATGAGACCTCGTGACCGGTTGTCTATTTTGTGAACATTTTGGGTCCATCTTGGGTGTAGCCCTGGCTGGGCTCTTATGCTGCCCAAGGTGTATCCATTGAGGCCTTCTAATAAACACCTACTTTATTCTTAACTTCGTCTAGTCTCTGTTCTAGGTCAGCCTTCATAAGGCATCAGCATCAGCTGAAATACCCCATGTCTGAGCTGAAAACCTTGTTTGAGATACCCCAAGGGTGTGGTGTTAACAGGTTGCAGGTATGTACACAGATGTAATAGGACAGATATAAGATCTCCTAAAGATAGATTTACCAAATTGAAATTTAACAATCTAAAAATGGAACCTGTGCCTTTAACACTCTTCTCAATGTCCCCATAAAACTAATACACACCTCATACTGTCTAAACTAGATGCCTATATCAAAATTCGTGTGTATCTCTTTTTTTGGAAGCCAAATATTTATGCTTGCATCCTGCCAAATGCATGCAGTATAAAGACATCAGCTCCTCACAATACACTGAGAACAGCCTGGGAACAGGGCAAAAATGTCCATGTCCCATTCCCAGCCCCTTCATTTTCATGCTAGTGAGAATGAAAAAAACTGTCAAGATGTGGGATGATGCTTCTAGTTGGGGTGATATTTGTAATTTGTTTCTTGAAGGAAACATCCGTGCACTTTTGCTAACAACTCTTTATATGCTTGGCTGTGGAGAAGTTCCCTTGTTCTTGTCTGCTTGGCATCTTTGCTGCCCTTAGAGCACTCTAGTTTGTTGTGATTGCCGTTGCTTTGTATTCTTCAGAACACAGTGTTTTACAGTGTTTTGCATCTAATTATTTTCTTACACAATGTCCATGATACAGGTATCAATAGTGTTTGTATTTTTATTTATTTTTCATCCTTTTTTCCCCTCTCTTTAGACAGCTAAATGAAACTGCCAAAGCTGTCACATGTTTCAACTGAATAGCCACAATACTGTGGTGCAGCGCAACAATTTCCCTTTCCTCTCTCCCCACCCCAGATGTCACGTTCCCTTACACTGACACCCCTAGAACATGGTTGGAGACTCCTGGAATAGATTGATGTTGGTCTACTGAAGGGAAACAGCTGAGAACCACTTTCCACCAGGACAAAACTGCTGTATCCAAAGGGACACCAAGGGCATTACATATCTGCTCATGCCAGTTTCTTTCTGACAGAAGACATGGCTGACCAGTAAACCTTGGTGCTTTTGAAAGGGATTTCCTCTTTTGGGCTAGCTGAATGATTTTGAGGCAACATCAGGCTAAGAAGACCTCTGCTATCTGACGTAATTTTACTTAGTAATTTTTGGGGCACTTGATTGATCTTGAGATATTAATTTTTGTATAAAATAAGGGTTAAATTGACAAAACATGGTACTGGTTATTTTTCTAGTTCTTGCTTTCAGTTTTGTAGAGGAAATCTGATGTTTCAAACTGGGCTATTCTATTGAACTTCTAAAAATTGCCTTCCACTATCAACAAGACCCGCCCTTGGGTGCCATTCTCAGGGCTGCAAAATTACCCTGGGCGCAGGGAGAAAATCTCAGCTTGTGGTATGTGCATCTCCCTTCATCAATCTGAAAGCCAGGCCAGTTTACTAGACACAGAACAATCTAGATTTTTGGAAATCTTGCAAGACATTTGAATAAAACTGGAGGCACAGAGTGACTAATAAACTGGATGAGAAGAAAGTGTATAAATTTTATCTCTAACACCAAATGTAATGGAAAAGATCTGGGGGATTATCTGAATGGGAAGTTTAAGCTTAAACTTGTGGATTGTGAGACTATGAAATTAAAATAAAACCAGCCAAACACACAAAAAAAAAGAGGGGTCATACACTTGGGGTGGAATAAGCTGCTTCAGTCCCTTATGGAATTTCATACCAAGAGGGTTTGTTCTCTGTGGCAGTGGGGCAGCACCTGCCATCTCACTGCAGGGCACAACAGATGGTGAAGAGGAAAACTCTGCTCTGCTTTTGGTGAGTTTCTGGGCTTTCTTCTTTTTTTCTATTTACATGGCAGGGAGATAAAACAGCTCAATGAAAGGGCAGCATTTCTATCTAGCATTTTGTTAAGCAAAATACCCAGAAGATTGTAACTCAACTGTTTTGTTGAAAACGCAGGTGAAGGACAAGAGGTGATTTATTTTGGTGAAGTAAAATAGGGAACTGTAACTTCCTGCAGCAGGAAACTACCATCTACAGAAAGAAGGTTGCAGGGTAGCAATCTGAGCTGGAGCTGGGACTATGGACACTCAGAAACAGCAGGAGGCTGAGGAGGGAGGGAGCAAGGCTAATCTAAGATTCCCCTGTTCTTATTCCTTTGTCCTTTAATTCCTTCTCTCTGTAATAACCAGTAATTTTCTTTTCTTGTGGATTGGTGTAATACCCACTGCCATGCAGGTATTGTTCTGAATGAATTATTTTAGCTCAGTTTCAAATATGGCACTGAATTAATCCATGATCCATGATTTCAGATCACTTAAGGAAAATTAAAAAAAAAATATAAATAAAAAGAGGTATCTCCACGGTGTGTGGCATGGCTGTGCTGCCCCTGGGGCACCCCCCGTGTGCTGTGTGTCTCCCCATCTGCAGGGCTGTGCAGCGTCCTGGGAGTGGCCAGTTGTGCTCTGCCTCATCTTGGCAACAGCTGGGCTTGCTGAAGGGCTGCCCTTTGCTCTCAAATCCCGACAAGGCATGTGCTTGTGGTAGCAGGGAAAAGAAGGAAAGGAGGGATGCTTTGCCAAGAAGAAGATAGTTAATGTTTACACAAAATCATCTGCTGCACACCTTCATGTAAGAAGTCCACAGTTTTTCCAAAAATGCTGTTGCTGAGAAGGGGAGAAGCTGCTTAAAGCTTGTTTTTCTTTTTGGCTGCAGAATGAACATTCACCATTCCCTCTTGGAAATACTCCGTACCTGACCCTGAGGAGAAATATTTATTTCTCTTTGCCCTGGACCAGCACATGTGGCCATTACTTTTGCAGCCCCTTCCAAAATTTCCTTGGATGAAGCAGGACTTGACTCTTACTCAGGAGTGGGTCAGCACTTTTTAGACCTGTTCTCTGACACAAAGACTTTTTCCTATCAGAAGATATTTTCTGGCCAACATTCCTTCTTCCAGACTGGAATAATAATAAATGGATGGCTCCAACATTTTACTTATGTCTCCCCACACCCATAAGATTTTTAAAAATCAACTTCCAGCCAGGAACTATTGAGATATTTAATGTTTAAACAGCCATTTTTCTAACTGTGCCCTTCCCAGTGGTTTATTCTCACAAACTGTCTTTTGTCTACTGCAGGGTAGAAACACAAGCTGACAGTTAGCAGTCTGACAGTAAAACATCAACTGGAGCAGTAACAACCAGGTAACCTGGCATGATGCAACCCATAGAAATTACTCTCAGATGTTAGTTTGGGGCTGGGCAGAGAGGGGAATAGCATATGTACCTTCATGATATTTAAAATACATATGACATGTAAGATTTTAACTGTTTTCTTAAACTGATCTGATATTACTTTTTCTAAATTTTAAATTCAAGACAAAGACATCCCTGAGCTTAGAAGAGACAAATAACCTTCCCATCATAGTCTAGGAGGGATGCATATTTCAGGGGCTTTTTATTGGTACAGTCTGCTCAGCCCTCCTCCTTCCTCCCCTCCTGCCAATTGTGCAGCTACAGAGAGTGATGCCAGGTCTGTGCTCATGGGCAGTGACAATGTGTTACAAGGAATGCTGTGAGGATCTGAAAGTCTGCACTGCTCTGGAAATTAAAAGTTGATGGGCTATGACTCTACCTGGATTATGATTCTTCCTGAAAACTGAGAAAGTGGAAACCAATGAACACAGACACTAATTTCCTGGGAAAGAGAGAGTAGCTTTACATTTTCATTTACATTTCTTTACATGCAGATGTGGGGGGAAAAAGCTCATTTGAAGTATGTGAATATCCAGCCCTTCAGTCATGCCAGTTCTTCTGCGTGCACTGGGGCAGCTCCTTGTTCCTGTTCTGAGTGGGAAGAAAGTGCACATAGTGCTGTTTCAGGGCATTCGTGCTCAGAGTTGCTCCCAGCAGAATCAATGGGATTGATGTTGTTATGAAAGCAGCAGTGAGGCTGTCTGCTTCTCATCAGGTGATGATACAGAAATCAGGAAGAAGTCACATTTTCTCTTCTTATACAAGAGAGAATGGCAGTTACATTTTGTTCTTTGCCTTCCTTTTAGCACATCTTTAACTCTTTAACTTTACTCGGCTCTTTGACAACTAGTTAATTTTTGATAAATAAAACATGATTTTTATCTTGATCAAGTCAACTTTCTGTACTGATTGCTGGGCTTAAAATGCTACAAGTCTCTGCATGAATCACAAGGAGACAAATGCCATCTCAGATTTCATGGCTGTTTACAGTAGGGCTAATATCAAATCCTTTATCCAGCAAAACACATTAGCTCAAAACTCAGAGGACTAGAAAAAATTACTTTGCTTGATTAGCTTTAAGCTGACATGTCTGAAAACATCAAACAAGAACCAGTCTGCTTTTGAAATTTGTTTCCAGTTATAGAACATGACCTTCTGGATTCCCAGCAGTATCACATCCTAACTTAAAAGAGCTGCATTTTCCTCTCACCACAAAGGTGCCCCCACAGACTCTGCTGGGTAGGATAAAACCACTGGAGACCCCTGCTGAAACCCTCCGTCCATGTTAAGAGGTATGGGGAATCAGAATGATCAGATGAAGATGTAGAGCACAAATCCTGTGAGGAGTGGGTGAGGGGGCTGGGGATGTTTATCCTGGAGAAGGGGAGAATCAGGAGAGACCTTATCACTCTCTACTGTTACCTGAAAGGAGATTATCATAAAGTGGGTGTCAGTCTCTTCTTGCAAGGAACAAGCAACAGAACAAGAGGAAATGGGCTCAAATTGCACCAGAGGAGGTTTGGATTAGAGATTAGGAAAAATCTCTTCACCAAAAGGGCTGTCAGGCACTGGAACAGGCTGCCCAGGGAAGTGGTTGTGTCGTCATCTCTGGAGATACTTAGAAGATACGGTAGATGTGGTGCTTAGGGACATGGTTTATTGGTGCACTTGACAGTGTGAGTTTAACAGTC